ATAAATAATATACATTGTGTATATAATACGCATTATTATTAATTGTTATGTATACGACAAGCACACTCATACAGATTCAGCCATACCAGATGAACTACTCACCAGACAGCACGATCTCGATAAGGCATCCATCTTTAATGTCAGCTACATTGTCCAGCTTCCGCAAGATGTTTGGGTCGGCGGCGTCGTGTCGGAAGAGGAGGATCTTGTCCACAATGTTGTAGAATCCATGCTCAGGGAACTGGCGAGAACATAAGAGAAAGACCGTGTTAGAGTTACGAATATCATACTGAGGTGGAAGGAATCAGCTGTAGTAAAAGACCTGTTTGTTTCAGTCATCGTTTTACGGCACTTGCAACACAATAAGGTCATATAAGTGCCGAAGAATAGAGGTGTCACAAGAAAGTAACAAACACAAAAAAGGAAGGAGAGATAAGGCAGGGCGATAGATGCTTGATAGAAAAAAAGGAGCAAACCACACCAGAGCAGCCGCCAACCACCCACAAACAACACAAGAAAGGACAGGCAAGAGACATTCGCCATAAACAATAACCGTCTCCGTGTCTTCGGCAAGCAAGGTGAAGAGCCCAACATCAACACCTCAGACACTATACACAGGAGGACTCGGGACTGTTGCAATTATCAACAAGCGCAACAAGCGTGGAGTACCAAATCTGATGATTCAAATATATTTACAATTCGTACCCAGAACTGTTCTGAAAGATGTTGGAGTCTGTCCAATATTCAAAATATTATTAAAGAGTATTTCTTGAAAAATATACGATGTGTATATTGTTGAGATAGACATAAACAGAAAGATATAGTTATGAGGAGAGCTCTTGTCAGCTAATGCTTTTACCACGTCTGACAGAGTCAATCAGGGCTGGAGCGGAGAACGTCGTTTATTGTTTAGTTTAGTTATAGTAAGAGTAAAAGGACGCAAATCGACACAATAATGGTCATTTAGCTCTGGGGAAAAGTGAGACAGACAGACAGAAACGGAAGGAAAGAACAGAGGTTGGAGCTACCAGTGGCGCCCTCTAACTCTAAACAAGCACCCGCAAAAAAAACCCTTCAACATTCCACCACAAACGCCGGAAGGGAGAAAGAGATTGGAGGAGAAAGACGAAGTGGGGCAGAACGCAGCAGTCAGACAAACTTGTAATACTGAAGCAGCTTATTAATCAGGCCTGTGAATGGTCACAGGCAACCACTCGGCTCTCCAACCCTGACTCTTCAGTAAGCCCGGAGACTCAGCAATAAGCCCGGAGAGAGCGCCATTTCGCCACAAGACATTAAGGTTACACACAACTAAGTAGTTGTATATTGTGTGTGTTTTTAAAAAAACCACTTCTTCTTCTAGCATCTTGACATACAGAGAAGTGCATAATAACACTGAGAGTAACATTTTAGTTTAGTTTGATAGAGTTTCACGGCGCTTGCAACTGCATAAGGTCATATGAGAGCGCATGGGCGCAACTTTACGTCAGTTGGTACATTTTTATAACGCTGCATCACGGTAGGGAAAACGCAGGTTCGAATCCTCTAAAGGGCATTTTGGAACATCGGTTATTTTGGGAGTATTCAAGTTCAGGGCTATATTCGCTCGTCTCGCTCCCCCCCCCAAGATATGGACAATGTATTTAGAGGTCTGCCCTTTTAAACAGCCTTGAAAGTGAGGTCAAAGCTATGCATATTACCAGTTGCACCATGTTTGTCTTCGAGAAATCTGTTCTTTTGTGTAATAAGCATGACCCCAGGCTCATTCATTGTAGGCATTAACAAGACGGTATTATCATTATTATCATCATCATCATCGTCATTGCCATCGTCGTCGTCGTCGTCGTCATCATCATCATCATCATCATCATCATCATCATCCCTTCTTCTTTTTAGCGTTTGTTACCCTCTTGAAACATCTCTAATCTTTAGCACCCATATGACCTTATCGTGTTACAAGTGCGGACAAAAACG